CAAAAGAATCAAAATTCAGCTCCAACTCTAACATAGCCCGGAACCCTCATCTTTCCCTATAAATAGCAAGCCAAACCTGCGATTTTATTCATTCAAACCTGCGATCAATACATACATATATACGTATATATATATATTTTTTTTCGACAATGTGTTTTAGCTAGAACCAAGCCCTGAAAACACTCTAGAAACCTTCCCCTTCGTGAGACGAATCCAACGGTGAAAGAATCATAGAAAACGGTCGTGAAACGAGAGAGATATCGCTCGTCGGAGTTGCAAGTTGTGGAAGCGGGTCTTTATAAAAAGCAGATATTTTGCCGTACATAGGGGTGGAGGAGCTTCGTCTTGCCGCAAAGATCATTTTGCAACTTGAATCGTCGAAATCCGTTATCTGTAAGTCAAGTTATAGCTCGCCGGAGTTTTCTAGTTTCCGGCGAAGTCGCCGGAATCACGACCTGGAGAAGATGACCCAGTTGTCTGGATCAGAACTCTTGGGCCGGGTCGGTTTAATGGGCCAGTTCGGCCCAGTTTTAATAAAAATTAAAAATAAAACAGTAAATCAAATAAATAAAATCTGGAAAAATATAAATTAAATACCTAGTATAAATATACATATTCTGGACAACCTAGGTCAAATATAGACCCAAATTATAGTTATAGACGGTTATTAATTTATAAAGTCAATTCTTAGTCTATTTATTTAAATTAGGCCATATAAAATTAGTTAAGTAATTAAGTAAGGAAATATTAATATTAATGGTGAAATAAATAAATCACTGAGATTGAAAAATAATATTCTGGACTAAAAATGATGTTGGAATAAAATAAGGAAAATAAAATAAGGTTGGGTTAGCTAGCATAAATAATTGACTATATGTAGACTTAATAAATAACTTAGTTATGTAATTAGTGGACTAATTCAATTAATAATTTTTATGATTAATTATCAGATATTCGGACTTCATTTAAATATTTAAAATATTTGAATTCATAAATGGGTTAATATAAATAAAGTAATTAGATAATAATTTATGAGTAGAGTAAATTAATGGTGATTATTGAATAAAAATTGGATGTTGTAGTTAATTATATTCGGATATTTTATTTAATATTAGAATTCGAATATTATTATTAATGGCTGAATTAATTTGATTAACTCGAATAATTAATTAATTAAATAAATTCGAATAATAACATAAAAGGGAAAAATTGGATAAATTATGAAAAATAGAATAAGTGACTAATTATATCATCTTAATTAAAAAGGTGATTATATAGAGATCGGAATTGAGGAAGAGAATTAGGAGCATCAGGACTTAAGGTAAGTTTCTCTGCCAATCCAAAATTTGTTTCCTCGTATTATATACTTATTATGCATTATGTAATTAAGTGTGAATTTTAAATGTGTACTATTTGGGGTGACTAAGAATTTGTGAAATATTGAAGATATATTTTGGGATTTAATCCCTAGTATGACTTTGGAGTGCATTTTAGTATAAAGGAATTTTGGAGTATTTATGAATGTGAATTTTTTGTGGACGTATCTATTAAATAGATATTCTGGATTATTGTATATAGAGAGGATTTTCCAAGAATGAATAATGTTTTTATAATAATTATTGACATCTCGAGAGAAACACGAGGTGTGGGTGGTTAGAGCTATATACCGCGGGTTTAGTTTAGGTTTAAGATGATTATTGGTGGCGGGAGAAATCCCGGTAAATATTGGTGGCGGGAGATTCCCGGTATTTCTTTTGAGAACTTTAAAAGTTCTTTGGTGGCCGCGGTAGTAGTTTCTAATCACCCGGGTTTCTAACCCATTGTGAGGTAGGGGGACGTTGTCCGAACTACTTGGACTTCTTACTGCTCGGAGGGCTTGGAATCCCTTTTAGGGGGTGTGCACACTTAAGGGTGAAGTTCAGTTTCCAATTGGTGGTCGGTGGGAGCCGGAATTCCGGGATGAGTCGTACGCAACAACGATTCATTGGGCTCGAGGAATCTTGAGTTTCGCCCATCTTAAAAGAATCTGAAAGTGACATTGATTTCGGAATGGTGATATTTTTAGCTACAAAAGTTATTTTTGAAAAGTGATACTTCTTTTGAGATATTAATTAATTGTTGGGAGCTTATAAATATTATTTTTTAATTATACGGGTATTTGAGATTATAAAGTTGATAAATGATGTTTTCGATTAGAAAAGAATTTCGGTGGTGTGAGTATTTTTATATAGTATTATATGAAAAATCTATTTTCACCAAACCTGATTATTTTACGGGGTTGGGTAGTACTTACTTAGCTCTAAAGCTAATTTTTGTTTCCTTTTCTTTGTTTCGTTTTCTGCACTTTATTTGTGCAGGTAATGATGAATACGAAGCTCATGATGTTTGATGAACCTGGAGAGCGCTTTAGAAGAATTTAGTGTAGTCTTCACTTAGATTAAATAATGCTAGTAGATTTTGAATTCAAGTTTTTAATTCGGTTGAACTCATGGTGGATAGCCTTAACATCCAGCCAAGTTGAGGGTTGGGTGTGGCGGTAACACACCATTTTTCCATTACTGTTATTTCCGCTGCAAAACTATATCTATTTTTAAGGAATAAATCAAGATTGTTATCAATATATTATTATTTCAAGTATTATTTGGGGCGGGAAAAATGGGGGTGTTACGGTCTGCCCCCTCCCCCCGAACAACCCACTTACTGGACTCTTCAAAGCATATAACATGCAACACTCTGGGATGTGATGTTTTAGTTCGGAACTGGAACTTATAATGGATTGCATACAACTGTAGTGTTTCCTTCAAGTGCTCTTTTGTCCATCTATGTTTTTTCACCACCATATATCTGCAATTCATGATATCATAATAAGAGACTCCCTAATGATTCCACCAGTTACTCTGTTGCATCAACAATGTACTTAATTGTGTTCCCTCAATGACTACTGAATACACTTAATCACTAACCAGTCACTGAATTTTAGTTACAGTTACTACGCTACATGACTCCAAGGTTCAATACGCCAGTTACTGATTTCCATTGACCACCGACATCACAAAAAATCCACTCAAATACAGTAACTCTGCAACTTCAGCAAGCGCCTTCCTATCACATGAAACCTCAGGGGTTGTAGTTCATATACATGCGTTATATTAATCCTCTTATTCAGTCATACACACTGCCTTCCTCTTTAGTCACACACATCATCTTAAACCTCTGATTCAGTGACACATACTTCCCTCAACTTAAAAACCTCGTTTCTTACACATCTTAAATCTCCGTCGCTCAAGAAGATTTTGTTTAATTACTGAAAAATCCCTCATTTTTTTGCTTTCAGTTACACCTTCGCCAATGAAATGAATGCCTGTCGCACGGAAACGGTTATAAGCCTTCATTTCAAATGGTAAATCCTTTATTTCTAACCCACGTGTACATAGTAGTAGTCACATTATTGAGATATTACCCAAAATAGGACTAAAACAGTTTGAAATTTCCAAAATAGGATTGTCATGTATTTATTCCCAAAATAGGACTAATTACTATCATGTTTTGGCAGTATCAGACTTCAAACATGGCAGTATTTTTTAAACATGACAGTAATTAGTCATATTTTGGAAATAAAAAACATGACAGTCCTATTTTGGAATTTTCAAACTAATTTAGTCCTATTTCGGGAACTTTTCCTTTATTATTACAGTTTAACACAACAATGTTTTCATACTTAATTATTTAATTAGTATTATCTTGAAGAAAAACATACAAATCTCACCCTTACATTTTTCTTCATAAAATGATATACTCCATGGGTCCATATAAAATTTGGCCAAAGTTGACTTCCACGTAAAATAATAAAGTAAAAACTGTGCGATTAAATTTGTGCAGATGAGAGAGATTTTTTTTGAAAACAGGGAGAAATAACTTTAGCAACATACGGAGTATTTGGTTACTTTAAATAGAAATGAAAAAACTTTTTGGGATGACAAAAAAGGAAAGCTGACCAAGTTTTATAAGACAGATGTAGTTTTTTTTTAGCTATGGGACAAAGGTGGTATAAAAAATCACTTTTTAATTTCTTTTAAGATTATGAAACAACAGTTACTCCATGTATTTTTCGATCCGACGTGATTTTCACTATGGGTCATTCACAAACAGTCTCTCACTGAGGTAATGATGATGATATGAATATATGATTATCTTTTTTACAAGTATTGATGTAGAATCCCCTCATTCAATTTTATATTATCGTAAAATGATAAAAATTAGAAATTAGTAAACCTTGCATATCGAGATCATCCTGGTACCCACCTTCCGATACAGGATTGGTTAAGGATCAGTTAGTCAATTTATAATCCCGGGTAAATAATTAGTCTAATCTAGTGTGATTGTGGATTTATATCTATGCTTATTTGTGATGAGTATGTATGTTTTTAGTTGGGCATTTTTTATTCCTAAACCAGACCATACCATATCAGTCTTGAATAGTTATAAAATATACAGAGACCAGACATTTACTAGACAAGTCCAGGCTAGACCAGATCAGACCAAACCAGATTAGACCAGGGAATTTCAGTCCAATTTAAAACATCTTAGAAAACAAAAGAAAAAGTTTTACAAAAAAATTTGGTGATGAAAAGAGACAATGGCATAGAATTTATGCACTACAAATTAGTTAAAAAACCACGGTAATCCCTGATTTTAAAGTTCCATAAAAATGAATGAAAAATTGAATACGCCTGGACTTTTTGACATTTTAAAATTCTACATTGAATATATCTAGATTTTTGAAAGTTTACATTCAATACATCTTTTGTTTAGACTTTTAAAAATTTACATTGAATACAACTAAACATTTTTAGACTTTTAAAAATTTACATTCATTACAACTAAACTTTTACAATTCATGTAATTAAAACTTTGTCACTAATTCCTTTTACTTCTTACAATACACCCCCTAAAGTCTATAGGTCGTTCAACTGGGCCGAGCCTATATACGAATATACGATCAAACGATATTGGTCTTTCCGGAACCCAATTGTTGGGTTGATTGAGCTCAAAAGGGATGGGTCGAATGAGCATCAGGCTTTTTGTATTAAAAATAAAAAGATTTACTGCTTATTTCTCTGCGCAAGTTACCAGGAAAGCCAGCAATAAAGAAGAGATGAATCGGAGCATAGAATTCATCAAAGCTTCTAATCTTCTTGGTCCAAAGCGTCTCCCAACCGTTGCCATAGTCGATGTGAGGTAGGCATAGCCATTCTTTTTTACCTAAATTAATCGCTTTAAAATTCAAATTTTCGATTTATTTAGCTATAGAACATCTACGAGACTACGATCTTTTTTTATGCAGAGATGATGAACGGAGTTCCGATGGTCACATAGCTGGTTCGCTGCACTTTTGTAGCGAAACATTTAATGTCAACATGCCCCGCCTTGTTCATGCTACCAATGGAAAAGATACCCTTGTGTTCCACTGTGCGTTTAGCCAGGTGAAGATTAACAAGTTCTCAGTCTAATCTGTCATGGACTACTTCTGATTATCTTTACTTTTTCACTTAATTGATTCTTCAAATTTATACTCATATATTGAAATGTGCTGTCTGGGTTATTTATGCTCCCAACCGGTGGAGGACCTAGGGGTTTGGAATGGCAAGTGCCCCTTCTTCCAACCTCGGAATTTAGCATGCATATTTATGATAAAATTAGTGTCTCTATTCGGGGAAAAGCAAATAAGCATGGAATTGTGATGGAGGGATTTCCTTGGAGTTAAGCACCACCACACTTTCTTTAAAAAGCGGAAGCGATCATTTTTTTACTAAGCATGATTATCTATGTGAAAAGTTGAGGTCAAGGACATGATAGAGTTTTTAATATGCGTGATTAGTTTAATGAATTGAAAACTCCTATCTTGAATGAAAATCCATATATTGTTTTGTTCACCAATTGTAATTAGTTGTAGCTGTTGCATAAAAATATCAATTTGTGAGTGACTTCTTTAAATATTATCCATACTTACTAACATGGCTGGATCTTGTTGTAAAAGAAAAGACGAGTTTCGGTAAAAACAATATGAACTATGGTAAAGATTATAGAAAAAGGTGAGCTTACAAACGGGAAAGGATTATATCAAGAAAGTAGTTTTACTCGGCACAAAGCTACACATTGAGGTTCACATTATACAACCATTGTTTGTGTTCTTTATATGTGCTCTCTTACAATCAAATTCTTGACAATATTTTGATGATGAAATTGGTTGAAAGTCAAGGGGGCATTGCTAGTGGCTTGGTAAAAAAGATGGAGAGTGATCAATTTGTTTTTTATTACTCACTTGATGGAGAAAGTGTTAGCGTTGATGAATAAATTATCACATTTCTTTTAACAAAAAAATCAAAATACTCTCGAGACAATGAGCTCACTTAAGATTTCTAATGGTAAATTTCAAAATTTGAGAGAAAATGGATGAGAACAAATGAAGTATTATCTGTCGTGCAAAGTACTGGTGAAGTTTGTAAAAAGATGGCTTAGCTTAGAGTTCACACAATTCTTTTCTCTTGAAATATCATTTGATTGAGTTGGTTTTAGTGTTACAAGTTGCAAGTTGCAACAGGCGCCGTTCAAAGAACCTTCTTTGAGATGACTTTCTTACGGATTATTTAGTGTGATGGATTGAGAGAGATGTTTTTAGAAGTATTGATTATGAAACTATTATGCAACATTTTCAAAATATGAGAACTTGTAAAATTGATTTATCGAGGTTGCAGTAGTGAGCTATTTAGTATGTAATTAACTATAATTTGTGCTAATGACTTACTCTTTAATGCTTTTATTACATTTGGAGTTAATATATAAAGCATATTTTAGTGCACAGTGTGTCCCTCTTTTCACAAATCTCTGACTTCGCTAGTACCCCTATCTAAAGGTAATTGAGCTTTCTAATTGGTTATATATCAAAACAGATATCTGTGGGCTTGTTTAATGTCCCATTCAGTTGTTGGTTTGTTGTTAACCAATCTCAAACTTTTCTGGGATTAAGGTTTGGATGTTGTTTATATATCAAAACAGATATTGGTGTTATGTTATGCATGTGTTGCATGATCTGGTAGTTAATCTCTGTTGTACATTTGTACTAGGGTAAGTTCATTTCTTTTTCAGAAATTCCCAACCGTCTATGAACTAATATACTTTAATGGATTCTAATCCTTTCCTGGTTTGATACTTTTCGTGTATAATACAATGATGTCTGTTTATGAGTTTCTTTGATCCCATTGGACATTCTGGTCTGGTGTTTGGTGGGTGGCGTAGGGTGGGTGGGGGAATGGGTGAATCATGAATGGAACGATAGGTTGTGCCTGATAAGTACATATATCGTATACAACTATAACATGCAAACATTGGTTGCAAAAGAGTTTGAGGTCTGCTAACACAATTCAATTTATAAAAAATCGGAGCTAAAAAAAGACAAAAAATAAGATAAGATAAAAAGGATAAAAAGATAAAAAAGATAATACAAAAATAAGATAAAGATAAGATAAAGATAAAAGGACATAATAGATGAAAAAATATAATATAAAAATAAAATAAAGATAAAGATACTATAGAGATAAAAAAGATAAGGTAGATAAAATATAAAGAAGATGAGAAAGAGAAAAAAGGAAAAAAAAGATAATAAAGATATTTTACATGTGCTGTTTATTTTATCAAAATATTTTCAAATGTATCCTTATTCTGTTAAATTTACGCAATTCTCACCAAATTTCAAATTTATGCATTCAAAAAATTTTAAAAATGCTATTTTACAATATTTTGTTGGTCTATATAATTTTCACACCTTGTATATTGTTTAGTATCTATCCATGATCGGCTTTGAGTTGCATAAAATAGAGATGCACTTTAGTTTATGTTTTAGTTTTTACATAAATTTTATGGGTCACTTGAAAAATTATCTGTTTGGATGGGTGACTTGAAAATTATATGTTTGGAAAGGTGAACTGAAATAGTATCTACCTTGTATTTTAGTCCTTGAAACAGAGTTGCGTAAATAGCATTTTAAATATTTTTACAGGATATGAATTGTGATGAGAATTGCATAAACATAACAAAATAAGGATAAATTTGATTTTTTTAAATATTTTTTTAATATACTCTTGTGAGAGTAATGCTTAAATACTATTTGTTCTGTACCATTTATCTGTGTGGCACCTCCCCAGCATCTTTATCTCTTTGCTGCTACATGCTCATTGTTTGGGTTTTAGTTTCTCCGCCAATCTTTTTTGATTGGGCGGCTCTTTGGTTTGGGATTTACTCCTGCAACAAGTTTCTTGGTGCGAACAAGACACAGAGACAACAATAGCGAGATGATGACATCATCCAGTGAAAGTCATAGGCGAAGATTGGGGTTAAAGGCTGGAACAAATCTGGATTCAAGGTCACTTGTAATTTGTGGTGAAAGTGGAGGTTTGGCAGAGAATATGATGAATAAGAGGCATAGTGAGGAAGAAGGTACAATACTATTAGCTCGTCCACTCCTGAACCGCTGCTATGGAGTGCTGGAGAATCTAGTTTGGAATAAAACGAGTGAACTCTGTTTTAATTCCGTTTTATTTTGTTTGTGTTTTTATTTCGAACTGCATGTTGTTTTGGTTGTGTTTTTATTTTCGGTAGGAGTTCTTTTTAAATGTTGCTTTGAATGAGGTGGTTGACTCTAAGTCTTGTAAAATCTGTTCGAAAGTTGTCTTGTATGGGTTCTCGCTTTTAATATAAAAGTCGCTCTTTTACGATAAAAAAAGTCAGACGAATCTTACCGAAAGGCCCCAAGCCTTTTGCTGCTTTTTATCAATTATTGTTGTGTAAAATAATGTGGGGCGTTTTGAAGCTAAATATTAATTATTAACTTTGTAGATACGGGGACCAAGATGTGCACGAACGTTTGCAGATTATCTTTCTCAAACGGTAGATAAAGATAATGCAGGGATAAAGAGGATTATGGTTTTGGAGAACGGCTATAATGGTTGGAAAGGAGCTGGTCATCCTGTTTGCTACTGTACTGAGGCCTTCTGCAAGAGTTACACTGAACCTGGAAATCAAAGCATAGCTAAACCTTAACGAATATTTTGGCACTTTAAGGAACTTCCATTTCCAGATCTCTGTCAACATGAGAATGAAATGTCAGTGATTACAGTCTGATGCATGAACTTTGAACTGTCCTCATTTGTGTAACCAATCATATATATGCATTCAACTTGATCTGTTGACGTTTTCCGAGATATAGCCAGTGTTTAAATGTCAATTTTGTAACTCAGTTTTGATTTTTCATTCGGTTTTTGACTATTGTGAGTTATGACAAATGCATTTTTTGCACTCAACAAATGCATTTGTTATTAGAAAGTGGCACATTTGGTCTTTCAATTTTAATTAGTCATAATAAGTGAAAGACCGTAAGTGTTATTGTGACAATAGTCGGGAAAAAAATTCAAAGACATGCAACTAGTGTTGGATTCGGTTCGGGCCACCCGGCCCGGCCCGGTACTGTGCGGGCCCGGGACCGGCCCGGTCGGGCGGTCCGGGACCAGGTCTGGGCCCGAACCGGGGGGAAGGGGCGGGGCGGGCTCGGTTCAGCATTTGTGTGACCCGGCCGGGTCGGGCCCGGGCCCGGGTCCGGTTTAATTTAATTTTTTTTTTATTTTTAATTTGGGCTCCTACTAGCTGTTGGGGGTGGGGCTGGGGACAACCCAAACGGCTATATAGCCGTTGGGTGGGGTAAAGGGGGGGGGTCCGGGGGGGTTGGGTGGTGGGGGGTGGGGTGGGGGGGGGGGGGTGGGGGGTAAAAAAACCTATAAATACTCCTAATCTTAAACATTTTTTCATATCTCTTCTCCAATTCTTCCTAAATCCTATTCTTAACTCTCTACTCTCTAATTCTCTTATTCTCCATTCTCCAATATATTATATTTATTATTTATAGTTTATATTAATTATCTACTTATATAAACTATAAATAGATATAAATAGTATTATATTACTTATATTTGTTATCTAATTATATATTACTTATATATTTATTATATCTATTAATATAGTTGGAATTATATCTAATTAATTTGAAGTCATTCTATTACTCCCATCCGAAAGACCGAAAGTCCGAAAGAGGTACGAAATTATTCTATTATTTACACTTGTTTAATTAGTTTAAAAAATATGTTGTACACAAAACTAGTTAATTCACTACTTAATTTGCTATAACTCGAATTAATAGTTAGATAAATAGTTAATTAGTTTTTTACAATTTTTTATTAATTGCTACATTTGACTCTAGTTTAAAAAATATGTTGTACACAAAACTAGTTAATTCACTACTTAATTTGCTATAACTCGAATTAATAGTTAGATAAATAGTTAATTAGTTTTTTACAATTTTTTATTAATTGCTACATTTGACTCTAGTTTAAAAAATATGTTGTACACAAAACTAGTTAATTCACTACTTAATTTGCTATAACTCGAATTAATAGTTAGATAAATAGTTAATTAGTTTTTTACAATTTTTTATTAATTGCTACATTTGACTCTAGTTTAAAAAATATGTTGTACACAAAACTAGTTAATTCACTACTTAATTTGCTATAACTCGAATTAATAGTTAGATAAATAGTTAATTAGTTTTTTACAATTTTTTATTAATTGCTACATTTGACTCTAGTTTAAAAAATATGTTGTACACAAAACTAGTTAATTCACTACTTAATTTGCTATAACTCGAATTAATAGTTTGATAAATAGTTAATTAGTTTTTTACGATTTTTTATTAATTGCTACATTTGACTCTATTTTAAAAAATATGTTGTACACAAAACTAGTTAATTCACTACTTAATTTGCTATAACTCGAATTAATAGTTAGATAAATAGTTAATTAGTTTTTTACAATTTTTTATTAATTGCTACATTTGACTCTAGTTTAAAAAATATGTTGTACACAAAACTAGTTAATTCACTACTTAATTTGCTATAACTCGAATTAATAGTTAGATAAATAGTTAATTAGTTTTTTACAATTTTTTATTAATTGCTACATTTGACTCTAGTTTAAAAAATATGTTGTACACAAAACTAGTTAATTCACTACTTAATTTGCTATAACTCGATTTAATAATAAAAGTTAAATAATAAAGAAATAAGCAGGGTAGTTTAAACCCTCTTAGCCACATAGTTCAAAATTTCAATATGAATAGTTCATGATTTGTGGAATAAAGCAAAGCAACAAATGAACAAGGATTTTCCATTAACGTGTAGAGCCAACGAAAGGGATACATGGATAGAAAAAGGGTAGCAATTGATTCGGACTAGATAAAGGACATCATACTGCACCCGAGAAAGAACATGAGGGCTTCAAGGTAAAGCATGCAGGTTTCTAAGTCTACCGGCTACCGCATATAGATTAGTGAAAGCTAAGCAAATCAAAAGACACTCAAGTACAATAAAATCTTACTTTCCATCATTTTTATGACTATGTTCACATCTATAAAAAGTGGTTTTTCTTGTCCAAAGAAACAATCATTTTTTTTTACTACAGGGGTCTAGGGGAGGGTGGGGGCTTAGAGTAAACAGGGCTGAAACTCACTCCATTGAGTTTCAAACCCTTATATACATAGCGGGATTCAAACTCGAGACCTCTCACTAGTCACGGTAACCTCACAACCAGCTAGGCTGGAATGCTTAGTTAACCAAAGAAGCAATCATTTTTTAACTCATAGTACTAAAGAAGATCCATATAAATTTACCCAATTCAAGAAATTCATATCCAAAATTATGTTGTAGCATTTGTGGGTAAACCAAGGTTTGAGGATGCAGAGATGTCATAGATCGGGAAAGTAGGAACTAGGAACCTTTCCTTTCACATATTGAGACTAAAGTCACAATAAGTGTGACACGGCCTTTGCTACTTACAGTCAAACCCAAGTTGTTGGTCCCTATTAAATATGTAGAGAAATAGTCTAGAGGGGGTGCATAGATTGTCTTTGGAATCTATTTTCTAATGTTTCAAGACCTTTATAATTAAAAAAGACTTGGGCTGTTTTTACTTGGACTGTAATTTGCTGGTCAGGTCTGGTCTGATCTGATTTGTTCTGGTAATGTCTGGTTTCTTTGTATTTTTATAACTGTTCAAGTCTTGTCTAGTCTTGTCTGGTCTGTTATGGTCTGGTCTGGGACAACTTACAGTCCAAGTAAAAACATCCTTACATACATTAAATTCAACTGAGTAGAATGGCATGATCATCAACTCCTAAATTAAACTCAGTTCTCATCTTAAAGAGGATATTCATGATTTGATTTTCCATTGAACCGTTTTTACTTAGTACAACTATCTCTAGTCTTTTCCTGTTTTTCTTTCTCTCATTTATATTCAACCATTTTTATTACACCATAAAATTAATTAAATTTATATATTTAATTATAATTGAAAATTTTGAGTTTACAAAATCATCAAATTATAACAGCAAACACTGAATAGATAATGATCAACAATTAAGAATATGAACTAAACATTTTAACACTCAACAGCCAACAAATGAACTAATTATGTATCATTTATCAACTAATACATATTCATAATCATTTATAAACATCAAATGACTATGAATAAAATCAAATAATAAGCTAATCAAATGATCATAATATCACATTAATCAATAAGGAAGGAGGTCAGATCCCTTAGGACGGCCTGGACGAGAGGAGTACGAAGTACCTGAGTCCCGGCTGAAGCGGTGAGGCAGTCCACACTTTCCAGTGAAGCCTGAAGGACAAAGGTGACTTGGCCTGGACTGGAAGTTTGATGTGCGCCTGTGCTGGACGCCAGGACTGAGAAGCCGTCAAGCCAAGATTTTGAGAAGGGTGAGAAGAGGCAGGGCGGCAAAGCGTCGATGACTCGGGGGTAGGCGGTCTGCGTTCAACGAGTCGGGTTAGTCAGCGTTCGCGGTTCCTGAGTTCGTTGATGATGTCGATGGTTGTATGCCTGTATCTATGTTTTCATTCGTAGATGTTCGCCCTCCTTTATAGAATTTGACCAGAGGGGCTTACTTGTACACATAATTTGTACACTTATACACGCTGCCTTGGTGCCTGTGTACATTACATTTTTTTAACGAGCTGCATGTGTACATAGGCAACTAGGGATGTGTACAACGGCTGTGTACAAATTATGTGTACATATGACTTTTTCCATTTGACTCACTCATTTTTCAATATTATTAATGTATATATACCTAAATCTTAAAAATACTATGTATGATGCAATGTCTAATATCGTCCAAAACATGAGTGTAAAGTCAAATTCCCTCTATTTCTTTTCGCCTTTTTGGTATACTTGGGCCGGTTGGGGTAGACAGAATCAAAAGTTTAGAGCATCCTACTCACATCTACAATGATATAGAGCCTAAATTTTCCCACTTTTGGAGGGCCGTGGCCTCCGCCACTTGCCCCCAAGGGCGCTACCTATGATATATGCAATTTAGGAATAATGTAATTGAAACAAACCGGTAAAAGACTAAAATACTTATCAAAAAACCTGAAAAAAAGGAATTGATGAAATTTTATGAGCATGTTCTTCATGAAAGCGTAAATTATATTAGAAAATTTTTAGCTCAAAATGAATCCGGTGTTTTTCAATGATTTATTTAACTGGCTTTCCGATCAAATTTTAAGTTGAAATTTTGTGGACATAGTTTACATTTCATAGAAAACATGCTCATAAATTTTCATAAAAAACTCTACCGGAACTACCTTAAATGGCAGCCTCCGAGTGACGATTCTAGTTAGGAAATCCCGATCGAAAGATGACTCTATATATGTGTGTGTATGGGTGTAAAATGATTTACATTGCCCGATGTATGGTCATCTTTTGGAGTTAGGTATATTAAAATGGCCATTTATTTGTGCTACTTTACATCTGAATTTCAGTTTATACAATTTCAAAGAAGTTTATCATGCTATTATGCCCTTGTAAATGTTTAGGCATTTTATCTACACTTTAGAGATTTCTACTACATATGTTAGCATTCTGGAGCACTTTTCGTCAATGTTTGCTGCTGTGTTTTTGCTATTGTTAGCATTTTGTAACAGTTATGTACTTCTGTGAGTGTCTATGAGTTTCTCGAAAAGCTGAGGTTTTCTTGATGTTTTTCTGCAGCGTTTTCTTGCTGCTTTTATTTTGCTTTTATGGCCTTTTTGCAAGAGTTTCCCTTCATTTTCATTTAGTAACAGTTTTGCACTTCTTTAAGTTTCCCTGCAACTCAATAGGTTTCTTTGATGTTTTTTGG